GTTGTGTGTTGTACTGCTAGGGATGCTTTGGTTGTCCTCCTCCCTATCCAGCATCCCTGTGCTGGCACCTTGTGCTGCTGCTGACTGTGGCATGCTCTGAACAGCATGAGGGTCCCTGTGGTCCCCCCTTGGGGTGTTGCCGCATAGGCTTGTAGCGGCATGTGGTGGCTGGGTGCTGCTGTGACCTCACTGGTATTTTGCCCCTAGCCCTGTGGTGGGCTATTTTGGCATGTTGTGGCCCTATACTTCTGTGAGGTGCTTTGGTGATCTGTGTGATTGCTGTGCCTGCTGGAGGGAGCTGTCCTCTTGTCCTTAATCTACTGTGGCAACCCATGGGGAAGCTGCTTCCTGAGTTCCCTTCATTAGCCAGCCACTGATGGCACCCATGTGCAAAGGGTGGGGGGTTTCCCAGGGCTGGTGGCATGACCCTGGGTGAGGACGGGTAGGTGGGATGGGAGCTGTCTTGGGGTGGTGTGCTGGCTGCTATATGTCCCTCATAGGACCTGGGATGCTGGCGTGCACTGCCCCAGTACCTGTGGGCTGCTGCTGTTACGCCTACCTGCCTGGCTGCTGGTGGAAGCCCGTGGCTCCCATGTCTCCTGTGAGTCGTGGGGGAACAGATCCAGGGATGGCTGCTATGAGGAGGTGGAGGGCCCGCCGGAGGTGGCTTGGCCTGGAACCGGCTCTGAAGTCTGTAGCAGCTCTTCTGTCCAAATCTCTCTCTCAGTGTGGAGGAATCTGTCGAGCTCCTCATAATAGGGGCATGTGTGTCTGCTACCACCGGAGGTTGCATTCAGAGTCACGGCCTGTGTGTGGTGAGGATCGCGGCAACAAGGGCATCGGCGGCGAGACATCAGAGTGCCGGCGGCGAAGACGGGGCGACGCGGCGGCAGCAGCAGCAGGGCCAGAGGAGCGATCTCTGGCGGCCAGCAAGTGAAAAAACATCAGGCGGCTGTCGCCGGCGAAGGTGGAAGGCGCGCGATGACATCGAACTCAGGCGCGGCGGAGCCAGAAGGACACAGCTGAGGCTGGGGGAAGACACGAATCGCGTGCCACAAAGCTAACTCGCCAGAACAAACATCCCGCCGGAAAAAGACTGCCTGAGAAAGAACTAAAAGAACCGAGCCGAAGAAAAAACACCAACCACCACCTGGGTGCCAGTAGGCTGTCCCATCCCCGTACAAATGTGGCCCTAGTTAGGGAGTAAATGTGATTAGCACCCTCATGTAAACCGCCCAGAGACCTCCAAGGGGGGTTAGGGCAGTATAAGAAATCGAAATAATAAAATAAAAAATAAATGTATGTCCTTGGCCTTAGCACGGCACTCTTCTGCGGACCGCTGATGGCCTCGGGCATCCATACCTCTGGCCGCCTCTCGGAATACATCTATGTCCCTGTGGGACTGTCTTAGGGCGGTCTGGATTGCCTGATCTCCCCACAGGTCCAAAAAGTCCAGGGTCTCCGGGCGCCACCACGTGGGACCATGCACCCCAGGCGCCTTCCCCCCCACGGGTGGCGGGGGGGGTTACTGCTGGTGGGGGATGGGTCACCGCGCTCACCACTCAGCATGGGGAAGCTTGGCAAGGGGTTTTCGAAGTGTGCTTCATGGCGACTTGTGGGCATGTGTCGCGTTCCTGCGCATGCACAATGTGATGGAAAAGTGGAACTTTTGGTTACGGACTTTTGCTTTCCTCTTTGTGTGCATGCGCAGTTGCGTGCTGGTGCGCATCCTGTGGAGATGGGAAAAAACCCTACTTGCGACGGGACATGGGTGGGCGCCGGATGCCACGGGACTCCACCGGAAATGCGATCACGCGCCCGCCCTTGCCTCACGGTTTCCGGAAACTAGTACCTCCGAGGTACTAGTTTTTTATCGCGCGTCTTTGGCGGGAAGCCTCGGGTGAGCCACGGGAGCTCTACGCTTCCCAGATGTGGTGGTGAGATCACACCCGGATAATCTTCCGTCCCTCTAGTTTGGCTAATGCTCCGTGTGACCGGGGCCTATCTTTAGCAAGTTGAAGTGTTTCATTAGTCATCCATCGAGGTTTTTCATTTCTTTTGGCTCCAGGAATAGTCTTTGCACATTCTTCCTTGATAAGATCTCTGGTTTCAGCCCATAGTTCTTCTGGTTAATATTCACATGAACTTAGCAATGCAAATATGTTCTTTACATGGTCTTTAAACTCCTCAGGAATGTTGTTTAGATTGTATTTTGACACTATGAATGTTCTGGTGTTTTCCTTCAGCTTTAATTTTTGATATTAACAGTTCATGATCTATACCACAATCAGCTCCTGGTCTTGTTTTGGAAGGGAGAGCTTCTAAATCTTCAGCTCCCCATTATGTAATCGATTTGATTTCTGTATTGGCCATCCAGTGATGTCCATGTGTACAATCCTCTGTTCAGTTGCCTGAAACGTGTCCACAATGAACAACTTATTGTCTTCACAGAATTCTGTGAGGAGTTCTCCTGTTTCATTTTGTGCTCCTAACCTACATACCTTTTGATATTTGATTTTGCTTTGTTTTGTACTTCTGTGTTCCAGTCACCTAAAATTATCATCCCACCTTGCTTAGATGTGTGATCAATTTCTTCCTAGACAGTTGCATATAAACATTCTGTTTCTTTCACTTTAGCATCTGTAGCTGGGGCATAAAACTTGAGTGATGGTAATGCTGATAGGCTTTCCATGAAGTATGATTGCTGTTATTCGGTCAGAATTTGTATTATAGCTACTGATTGCCTTTGTTGCATCTCACCTCACTGTTAGAGTAACTGTTTCTTCTCTGCTTGTCATTTTTAAGGTAAAACACTTTCTAATTTTTTGATTGAAAATGTGCTAATCCAGTCAATTTTAATGCACTCACTCCTAGGACTGCAATGTTAAGTGTTCCTTTTTTGTTTTACAGTTTCTAGTTTACCTTGATTTATACTTCTCACCAGTGTTCCCTCTAAGCTGAGTTAGTGTGAGCTAGCTCAGTTTTTTAGCCTCTGGCTCACACACTTTTGTCTTAGCTCAGGAAGGATGCCTCCAGAACAAACTAATATGCAGTAGCCAAATTGCTCACTCACAACTTTAATGCCAGTAGCTCACAAAGTAGAATTTTTAATCACAAGACTCCACAGCTTAGAGGGAGCATTGCTTCTCACATTCCATGTTCCTATTATATGTGTCAAACAGCTTTGGACTTTCCTTTTTGCATCAATTTCACATCAACAATTGAACATCCTTTTGGCTTTAGTCCAGTAGCATCATTAAGAATTGCACTACTTGTTCTCTCAGCTCATTCCCAGTAGCTGATTATCATCTGACCTGGATGTCCTGTTTTGGATAGTCTTATCATAGGGTTTTCAAGGCAAGAAATGATCAGAAGTGGTTTACCATTGCCCTTCTGCACAGTACTAACCAGGATTAGCTGAAGTGACATTGCTGTTGTCTGTGAAAGATCCTCCGCCAGTGTCACTTTCCACTACTGCTGTCGCCCAGTAGTTATCCTTCAAGGATTCCTCTGCCCCCATCACCATTGGAACTGTCCATTCTCTTATGCTGATGTGGCCATTGATTCTTGAAGTGCATCTTAGTCTGCTGTCTCAGCTGTGACCATTCTGCCTTGATCGACTCTGCTAGGAGTTTAGCCTCTTGACAGAGTCTAAACTCCTTATGGCTTAGCTTCGCTGACACACACAAACCCCCTCAGCATGTTAAGGTGTGTGTACAAGAGGGAGGAAGAGTTTAGATCTTGTGAGACACATGAATTCGAAATATCGTAATCAACGTTTGCCCATGGCAGTCCCAACTAGCCCAGAACAGCTGCTTTTTAAAAAAAACTTATCCTCAGAGGTTCAGGACCCATCTGTGGCTCTAGCAGTGTTCCCCAATATGGCACCTGCCCCATTGTTTCAGGAAAGTAGTTCTTATGCTCAGTATCTGGCTTCTACCTTGAATCAAATGTTGCTGGAAGGAATGGAGGATGAATAAACTATGTGCCACCCTGGGGTGTAGGCTTCATGCAAAAGGTATACGGATCCACCCTTACCAGGTAGCTGCCAGAAGAATAGCAAGATGGCCACAGAAGAGAGAACAGGCCTCCCCCCACAGCAGCTATCCAGAAAAAGCAAGTTGGCCATAGTGGAGTGCTGGTGATTTTACTCCCCTTTCTTCACAACCAGCATATTCTCTCTTCCAGAAGCCTTGGCGATCTCGGGCGCTCATCTGAACGGCTGTTCCTTTTGCTGAGGAGTAAACAAGAAGGCAGAGAGGGAAGCCCTACCACTTACTCCAGATACACAAGGGCTGGCTCAGTTCAACAGTGGTGGGGAGAGACAATCCTACATGCTCTGAAGTAACCTTGATCTGTTATTTTAAAATGTTATGGTTATACAATATTAAGTTACATCTTCTATTTATTGTGCGTGTGTGTTTGGTGGAGGCATGCAGAGGTGGCTCTTTGGGTTGGTGATAATTGCAAATGTGCCTCTCTACGACCCATGGAGTGTACCACTACTCTAGACAAAAATGTTACCCTTGTATGTAACATACAATTCCAAGTGTACTCATCATTAGAATATAATGCCACGTGGGTGAGAACTGTACTCATACCACAAAGGAACTTTTATGCTGTTGTAATTAACCTCACGAACAGCCTGCAGTCTGAAGTTTTCTGTTGTTGTTTTTATAATGCCCTCTTTATTCTTGCTAAAAACAAAACCTGCTGGGTACATCATGAGTTTTTAAGTTTTTATTAAATGTGAAAGATAATGCAATGAAACAGAAGAGCTAAATTAAAAATGAATTACTATATAAATATTGCACTTTTATTACCAAATAACTCATTTCTAGAACACTTTCTGAGACAAGTATAAATTAAGAATGTCCATGTTGAAACAATTTGGTATGTTTCAGGCTGGCTGGTATTGCTGAAAGTTCTGAAATATAACATTGGTATTCAGGGTGTTTATAGTTGGAATATCAGTCAATACACATTGTTGCAAAAATGTGGAAACTATACCACCATGTTTTTGAAAATGGCATGAAGAGCAGTCTTGGATGATATGTGACAGGATGAAGCTCTTAATAATTCACATTTCAACATTGTTTGTTTTTCAAGGTATTCAGAATTTTCTGATTCTTGGTCTTGAAACTCATGGTAAAGCTGCTGGGCAAGATTTTACCTCTGCCATCCTCTTCTACCTGGCCCATAATAACATAGTTTAGTCCTGAAAAGAAATAAATAAAAGGGTAACACAGAATTTCTACTTCTCCAGCCTCGGACATACAATTACTTTTTTTTTTTTTTGGCAAGATCTCTGTTGCTGAGTTGAACACAATCTGTGTTTCACTGTGGTAAATGGCATATGACGACTTCCAGCTTCTAGATATAATTTTCTCCTATCTGAAAACACAGACCTACAGATGTGGCATCTCTTATTTCCTTGGAGAAATGAGAAGAACAAATCAGCTATCCACTTTTATAAAGAGATCAGTAAAAGGCATTACATTACTACAGACTTTATTGGTACATTGGCAGTATAATCCTAAATATAGTTACACCCTTCAAAATCCATTGTAAATCTTTTCAATACAAATAAGAACTGCCATTTTGAAGGAAATTTCTTATTCTCGCTATGATTACCTGGAGATTAACTCATTTTATAATTGAAGATATGCACTGTCACCATCTGAAATAAAACAGTAAGTCACCTGTACTTGCCTACAGGTGAAACAAACTGGTATAATTCAGACAGGAAAGGTTGGTACTAGTGGCACAGTTGGTAAAGATAATTTGTACAAATTACTGAGCACCTGTAGGCTGCAAATACCCAGTATTTGTTCAGTGTTCACTTAGGTTATATCTTGTCCAAAACCCTACAAACCAGTTAAAAAGGTCAAAATCTAGTTAGACTTCACCTGAACAACTTCCAACAGCTAGTTTAAAAATGAGCATGTAAATGAAATCCTAATTTCTTCGCTTCTAATACATTTAAAGTGTGTATTTCTGCCAACATCAGGCTACTGAGCTGTAACATTTTTATAGAATTATAGAATCATGGAGATGGAAGGGGTCACAAAGGCCATCTAGTCCAACCCCCTGCACAATGCAGGATTAGCCTAGAGCACCCCTAACAAGTGTTTGTCCAGCCACTGCTTAAAGACTGCCAGTGAGGGGGAGCTCTCACCACCATCCTAAGCAGCTAATTCCACTGTTGCACAACTCTTACTGTAAAACGGTTTTCCCTAATATCCCATTGGTACCTTCCAGCCCTTAATTTAAACCCATTACTGCAAGTACTGTCCTCTGCCGCCAACAGGAACAGCTCCCTGCCCTCCTCTAGGTGACAGCCCTTCAAATACTTAAAGAGAGCACTCATAACCCCCTCAACCTCCTCTTCTCCAAACATTCCCAAGTCCCTCAGCCTTTTCTCATAGGGGTTGGTCTCCAGGCTCCCAATTATCCTCGTTGCTCTCCTCTGTACCTGCTCCATTCTGTCCACATCCTTTTTGAAGTGAGGCCTCCAGAACTGCATACAGTATTCCAGGTGCGGCCACACCAATGCAGTGTACAGTGGGACTATCAAATCTTTTGATTTGGATGTTATGCCTTGGGGTTGATACACCCCAAGATCGCATTAGCCTTTTTTGTTACCGCATCACACTGGCTGCTCATATTTAACTTACAGTTCACCCATACCCCAAGATCTTGTTCACACACACTACTACCCAGAAGTGTATCCCCCATCCAGTATGCGTGTTCCTCATTTTTGTTACCCAGATGTAGAACTTGGCACTTATCCTTGTTAAATTGCATCGTGTTCACATCTGTCCACTTTCCCAGCACGTTCATATCTCATTGAATTCTATCTCTATCTTCTGGTGTGTTTGCTGTTCATCCCAATTTGGTGTCATCTGGAAATTTAATGAGTAGCCCCTCCAGACCCTCATCCAGATCATTTATAAAAATATTGAAAAGTACTGAGTCCAGAACCGAGCCCTGTGGCATCCCACTGGGCACCTCCCTCCATTCAGATGAAATTCCATTGACAACTACTCTTTGAGTGTGGTTCTCCAACCAGTTCCCTATCTACCTAACTGTCCTAGAGTCCAGTCCACAGTCCTCTAGTTTACCCATAAGAACATCATGGGGAACCCAGACAAAAGCTTTACTGACATCGAGGTAAACAACATCAACAGCATTCCCTCAATCCAGTAAGCTTGTCACTCGATCAAAGAAGGTCAGACTGACTGGTCTGTAGTTTCCTGGGTCACTCCGACTCCACTTTTTTGAAAATTTTGTTATGGTAAAAATTAATAAATCTTAATTTAATTTTAGAATTGCTGATATGAAACCTCTTACATGATTACAGTTTAATGTAATCATGTAAGAGGTTTCATATCAGCAATTCTAAAATTAAATTAAGATTTATTAATTTTCACAACCATTCCTGTATATGTAATACCATGCTGGATAGTTTGCAAATGGGCAATTTCCTCTGGAAATTAATGTTGAAACTAGAAGAATAAGGAAATGAGTGTCAAGTGTAAAATGGAAAATTCAGTTATTTATCTCTACTTACCTCTTCTGATAACTGGACACTGTTTACAGATAACAACTATTTTGGCACTCATATTTTTTCCTGCTTGCTGGATTGCTAAATTTCCTTCTTTGTATACATTAATAATTGATATTGTTGCATGCAAGCTTCCACCTTTGGTGTTTGTTGTGATAACAGATCCAGTTATTACTAAAAAGAAAGTGAGCAAGAGAGAACAGATGTAGGACTGAAATGTTATTATGCCATAATAAGTATTATATTGCCTAGCTCTATTCAGAAACCACAGATCCCTCACAAATTTGTATCCAAACAGGTAAAGAAAGGAGAGAGGTCTTCAAGGTGTTGCACTGAAGAAATCTTCTACAGAAACTGGAGAATTAAGAATAAAGCAGTACGTACAACCGATCTATCACTGTGAATAAGCAATACAGACTGTTCCAAAAAGACAACATGCCAGCGTAGTCCCTGAATCAACACTTCTACAGAGCAACAGTTCTCCTTCTGTTTAGTCATTTGTGTTTAGACTGGAAATCCTTTTTTCCCCTGACACACATTCACAGTTTTCTCTCTTCAAAAACATTTTAAGGGATATAACTGAGTCATAGACACCAGTGTAAGAGAGGCAGGTATCATGATCTGAAAGAATTTCCTTGTGTGCTACTGGCCGTTTACAAATAAATGTTCTGCTCCTCCCTTGAAACTAACCATATAGCCCCAAGATACTGATGACTCCCCCCCCCCCCCCCTCTTACCAAAGTTACTCGAACAGTAATTGCTCTCAAGGGTTCCGCTCCTTCTGCATTTTTGCTGGCACAGGGCAACTGTAGGTTTCAAAGCTTTTCAAACGAGATCCAAAAGGCAGAGTTAGTGAACTCTGTGTGAGTTTACACATTCATTTAAAAGGTCTTCACACACACATACCCCGTTCTTTAAATTTATCCCAGCAAACAGAGAAAATTGGCAGTTTCATACACAAATCCTTGAGCAGTCCGTCAAAGCTGCCCTACAAAGAAGCCAATATTCTATTGGCATAGTGGTGCAATGTGTTCTTGGCAGGCTGTCCTTGTCAGAAGGTAGGCCACATTCTGTTCCAACTCTACAGAGTCGGGGCATAGCAACATTGACCCTAGTAGCTTCTTCCAGCTGTGACTTCTAGTAAAAAAGACTGGTAGTGGTAAAAGGCCTCTTTTATGAGAAGAGTTCCTTGTCCTGTCAAGTTCCCAGGTCTCCTCGGCAACCATTTATCAGTCATTTTTGTGCCCATTTTGTTTCTGAAAATCTTTTCACAACATTTTCTACAAGACTGTGTTGGTGCTGACAATTTCATAAATCTTTATCCCATAACAAACGTAATATGAAGTCACTCCTCACCAGATCCTTCTATTTAATCTAGCTTTTCCCCCAGCACAGCAGAAAATACTCATCCTAGAACTGTACTTTTTCAGCACAGAGAAAATGAAGACTTAATACTCACATGGTGTGGCAGGGAGAGTTGCAGTGGTAGTTGGTGACACAGTTGTAGGCAACTTTTTAGGTCTGAATTTGTAGTGACCAATAAAGCCATCAGCAGTTACACTTAAATCCGACAAGAACTGAACAAGCAACTCATTTTTCTCTGATACAATAGGCCTGAAAGAATAATTTTGCCTTCAAGTTATGTTACATATTACAGAATGCAGGCTATATATTATGTAACATGTTACATTAGGTCATGTATATACCCCAGAGAGCACTACGGTCTGGGTCTCAAAATCGGTTGACCCTCCCTGGCCCGAGGGAGGCCAGGCTAGCTGCTACCAGGGCCGGGGCCTTTTCTTGGAGGCCCCTACCTGGTGGAATGAGCTCCCGGAGGAGATCAGGGCCCTGTGGGACCTTTCACAGTTCCGCAGGGCCTGCAAGATGGAGCTCTTCCGTCAGGCATATAATTAGGGGCCGCTGCCGCAGTGCACAGCCCGCAAAGTCATCATTGAGCAGCTGCCATAAGAGTGATGAGCAGAATAACATCTAAGCACTTTTATGCTGGAAGCTGGAAATCCATCTGAAAGCATTCCTTCTGAGTGAATTTTAACTGCCGCCAGCACTTTGTAATGTATTATTTTTAGCTGTTATGTTTTAATTTGTATTATGTATGTTTTTATCATGTATTTATGTTAGGGAAGCCGCCCTGAGCCTGCTTTGTGGGGAGGGCGGGGTATAAATCTGACAATAAATAAAATAAAAATAAAATGTACATTTTAAAGAAGTAAAATTTAACAGAATGCTGGATTTTCCCTTTTCATGTGAAATCTTTCTACATGGAGCATAAAGACCCGTTAACAAGTATTTACCTGGATGCATTTTCAGAGTGAAATAAGCTTCACAGCTCTTTAAGAAATCTTTCTTGACACTACTATAACTGAGACAGCTGCTGATAATGGCACAGAGGTGTTATTGCAAAAACAGACCCAAAAAAAAAGGAAAAGGAAAAATTAAGAAAATGGTGGCCTTGATCAATCATGCAGATTGCACTGAAATACCACAGGGAACTCTTACGAATAGAAGAAGAGCCCTGCTGGATCAGACCAGTGATCTATCTAGTCTAGCATCCTGTCTCACACAGTGGCCAACCAGATCCTCTGGAGGTCCAACAACAGGGCATAGAGGTCAAGGTCTTCCCATGATGTAGCTTCTGGTATTGGTATTCAGAGGTTTACTGCCTATGGCTGCATCTCATTCTAATTCTCTGTCCCTAATGTGCACTGCTTCTTCATATAAAAACTCAGCGTGCTGACTTACTAACGTTCCCAAGATTTGTTAGGAAAAATTTCTTGCCAAGACACTCATCCCTGACATTACTCTCACCTCCTCTCCTCAGTAATGAGATGCTTGTTTTGCACATCCATCTAGGGGTTATTGGGCATGAATAGCATTAACTACTTCACAATTCCACAAACATATCTCAAGCCTTCCCCTTGGTACAAAAGGAAACCCATGGCTGAGCTTCAGACTGGGGAACAGGGCTGCCGAGCCACCATGGGCCCCCGGATACAGATTCCACCTGGGTCTCCCTATATGGCCTTGATCCAAACCCACATATTGTAACAAATCACTTTGCATGCTGTTACAGTGCATCTATATTAATAACAGAATTGGTCTGTCTGTCCATCTGTCCACTTATGGCAGGCATAACTAATTAGAGAATAAAACTAGGAGATTCAAAATTGGACACTAGCTTCAGAATTACTGTGGGAGTTCTAGGGCCAAAACTGAAAGCATGGGAAAATTCTGGCGCAGGTGAGACCCCCCCGTGCTATTTGCAGCTGAAGCGAAGGCTCTTTGTTTGTGGCAGACATAACTCATCAGAAAATAATGCTACATGTTTGAAAACCGGCCACCAATCCCAAAATGATGTTGGAAGATGCAATACCAAAAATGAAAAGAACTCGAACACTCTGAACCAGGTTATCGTCACAATAGGTAACATGTAATAAGAGAGCTTTAAGCAACTTGTTATGTATCACTAATATTTATATCCCCAAACCACCATAGAAGGTTGCTAAGTGATACATTCTTAGCGGCTGGACCTACCTCACAGGGTTGTTGTGAGGATAAAATGGAGGGCAGGAGAACAATGTAACTTTGGGTCACCACTAGGGAGAAAGACTGGGCATGACATTTCTTATAAATCTAATTTTAGTAACATTTAAAAGGTTGCATCATAAGAAGCCTTTACAAAGGGCTATTAGATCTTCCACAAACACAATAATAACAATAACAACCCAGTGCCTGAACTGGGAGTTCTAACTTCTGTTCCACATGTATAACCAATAAAACAGATTAATGTTCCATTACCATGCATGTAAAGAGTCGAGGAGGGGAGAATTAGATTATGGGGATATATTACTCCCCCCCCCCTTCTGTTCACAATATTAACAAAGGTTTGCGACTAGACTAATATTAAGTACCGTACATTCTGTTGGCAAGCAGAACAGGGATAAGAAGACCAAAACTTCGAAATAAAATGGGGGGGGGGAATAAAAAAATCAGGTGGAGGGAGAGAAAATTAATAAAAAATGAATGGAAAAGGGGGAGAGAAATTAAGGAAAATAGAAGGAAAGATTGTTTTATCTTGCTGCAACACATTAACACTTGGATTCAGTCTTGCAGAAAGGTGAGTCTAACTGATAAGAGTGCATTTTACTCTGCTCAGACTTCCCTGCACCCCTAGTGGCTTCAGACAAAACTGCATCACAAGGAAAATAGTTGGAAAGTCATTCTGCTGGATGCAGCATGACACTGACTTAGGTCCCCTGAATGTTGCCCCCCCAACCCCCCCCCTCGGCGGGCCGCAGCCCTGCTGAGGAGATCCAGGCTTAAATCCTCACTGAAGGTCAAACAACATGGATCTCCCACTTTTTAACAAAGCACCTGTGGGAAGAGAGGATATTCAGATTTGGTCTGTCAGTCTGTGAGGGGAACATTAACTTCTTCCTGCCCAAGACATTTCTACAATCTAAATTACTCCCCAAAGGGGGAAAGCATACAGTTACCCCTACGTTTTCCCCTGCTGGTTAACAGCAGCTGGGTGGATGGGCAGGGAACAATTTGAAATGAGGACAATAATGCAAGGAAACAGGGCTTTTTTTGTAGAAAAAGCCCAGCAGGAACTTATGCTAATAAGGCATACCCAACAGCAGAAACTCATTAGCATATTAGGCCACACCCCTGATAGTACAGCTCATTAGCCTATTAGGCCATACCCCCATGTTACCAGAAGTGTGGTCATCCAGCCACACCCACCTTTTGCTTCTTATTCTGTTTATCTTGTTTGTTGTCAAAACCCAGTGTTGGATCCCCAAGCATCGAGAATAAATCCACGTTTTAAGAAAAGCAAAATTTATTTCAAAGCGTTGACGACATACTCAAACACGTTCTTTGTTAGAACTGGGGATACACAGTTAGATCAAGCATAATAAAGGAACTTCAAAGAGATACAGGTCCAATGAATAACTTTCCCGCTGGCGGGCTAATGGAACGGTTGCGCGCCCAGTCCATGGGAACCAGGCAGGATATTAGACATAACACAGGTGCAGTAGTCATGGGAAAAGCAATAGCCAAGCATTACAGCATCTTCTCCCCCACACAACCTCCAGCAGTTATCTTTTGCATTCCAACGCAGGAGCAGGATGATAGAAACCAAGCCGGGTGCAACAGGGAAAGAATATGTACACAGAGGTCACAGAAAACAGAATGGCAGCTTGCTGACATACTGCCCCCCTTAAAATACACTTACAACACACCTCCCGGGCCGGGCGGGAGATCTCCCGGGCTGGGCGGGAGACCTCCCGGTTTGTCCGGGAACCTTCTGTGGAAACTACGGATCAGGTAAGGGGCCCGAATATCCCCTTCTTCCACCCATTCGCGGTGCTGGGGACCGAAATCAACCCATTCGATAAGGTACCAGAGTTTACCACGTTTCACTTTACAATCCAGGATATCAGCGATCTCAAAATGTTCATCCCCTTCCAAAATGACAGGTGGAGGAGGAGTAGTTACAGGTCTCCATGGAGACGGGCCAGGATCCTTCTTTAACAGGCTCATGTGAAATACAGAATGCAAGGCACGTAAATTCTTAGGCAAAACAACATCAACTGCCACATCATTTATGACTTTGCGCACTTTGAAAGGGCCTATGAACTTCCATCCCAATTTCCTGCTAGGCCGCAGCATCTTAATGTTCTTGGTTGAGACATACACAAGATCCCCAGGTTTCAGATCAAACCCCACCACCCTACCCTTGTCTGCCTGGGTCTTGTAAGCAGCCTTGGCTGCGTCAAGTGTTTGGCATAACAGAGGCCATGCTTTTTGCAAGGACATACACCAGGTATCAGCATCCCCCACAGGACGTTGGCCCATCCCCTCCAAGAAAGGGAGGGGGGGGCTGTCGTAACCAGAGACAGCTTTATACGGAGACATGCCTGTGGAGCTATGGACAGTATTATTATAACAATATTCAGCAAGAGGCAATAAGTCACACCAATCATTCTGTTGATAATTAGTAAAACAACGCAAATATTGTTCCAGGGTCTGATTAACTCGTTCCGTCTGTCCGTCAGTCTCGGGATGATACGCGCTGCTGAGTCCTTGTTCCACCCCTAAAATGGAAAGAAGTTCCCTCCAAAATTTAGAAACAAATTGGGTCCCCCTGTCAGAAATTAACTTAGTAGGTAATTGATGAATTTTCACCACGTGAGACATAAACGATTTCGCCAACCTTTGAGCTGTAGGCAAGGAAGGAAAAGGTACAAAATGAGCTTGTTTAGAAAACAAATCAACAACCACCCAAATGACAGTGTTCCCTTTGCTCGCAGGGAGGTCAGTAATAAAATCCATGGATACCACTTCCCATGGTCTCGATGGAGTAGGGAGTGGCTGTAGAAGACCAGGAGGCTTGCCCAATCTGGGTTTAGTCAAGGCACATGTTTGGCAGGACCGAACAAACATCAAGAGGTCTTTGCGCATATGTGGCCACCAGAACTGTCTGCGGATGAGTTGTAGAGATTTAACAAAACTCCAATGCCCTGCCAGTTTCGAACCATGAGCAGACTCCATCACCTCCCTCCTCATTGAAATAGGCACATACAGTTTGT